ACTTTAATCCTATGAAATCCTAAAGTCTGAAACGCGTCAAACGAAAACTGTTTTTTTTTTCTTTGTCATTAATTTTTCTAACATTGTTCTGGTATGATAAAAATCTTATTTCATACTAAATCTAAATTCTTGTGCCAAACACGAAAGCTTAGTTGGAATAGCAAGTTATAATAGACGCAAATAATAAAATAAGACTCAAGGACTGCGTAAAATATTAAAAGGAAAACACATTTATTACACAGTTACAAAAAAGTTCAGTCAGTTAATGTGCCATACGTGATACACACTTTAGGCGATCATGTATCTTTAGATACATGACTGACGAGGCAGAATTTTTCCCGCGGTAGGTTGCCATTTCTTTCTGCGCAAGAGCAATTGCCATCCAAGGCTATAGAACCCGCTTTGCTCTGCTATTTACCCATAGCTGGGGGGGAGAAGAGGATTCATACCTTTCCAAGGCAGTTTCTATACACATCTCATTTAGCACGCAAAATGGATGTAATGGATTCCACTGGAATTCGAACTCGACTCTCTGATTTCTCAATCTGAGGCGCTATCCATTACTCCAACTTTTGTGCGTCAATTAAGGCAGGAGAACAATTTTTGATAAAAAGATTACCAACGAAAAATGGAAAAAAAATTACAATTTGGGAAAAGATAAGAATTTTGAAAAAGACAAAGAAGAAAAAAAAACAATACAAGCATTGTGTCCAGCTAAACTGGAAGCAACTGACCAATTGATACTCATGGTCTTGGTAGGAGGAGGATTGTTGGAAGCGGTTAGCCTCCTTATAAAAACCGTCCTCCGTGTTCTCACAAAACTTTTTTTTTTTACAAGCCGATGCGTGACTGGATAATTGTCGTTCTGAAAGATTATTACTTTTTTTCTTCCCAATTACTAGACCTAGTTGGAGCAGGTCGCAAGAGGAGGACTCCTTTTTGCAACCCTTACCAGGCTGTTGCTGCTCTATTCTGGGTTCCCTCCACCTTTTACTGCGTCGAAAGTTATTTTCTCTTCGACAAAAGGTCAACAATAAATGTTCAGAGACCTTTTGAAAGCTTAGAACTATGTTCTATTTCGTGACGGATTCTGTTGAGTAATTTTTAAACGCTGCATGCATTTGGCGTTGATGTCAAAAAAATTTGGTTTTATTATGAGACACCATGACATCGTGGGGGCGAGGCTAGCAAGATATCGGTCTTAAAATACTAATAATGTGTGAATTTGGTGTTTCTTGTAACAAAAAAAAAGGTAGTTTTATTGTAAACAAATTTGTCGAAGCACACTGCCCGATTGGTCTTGTAATTTATATTGAAATAAAAATTAATAAATCTGTAAAAATGACTGGATTAAGGGAAATAACTCTCACTCTTTTTGACAGAGTAGCTTCCCTTGAAAGGTCTTTTTTTTTTTTTAAATGAATAATATTGGCATGAAAATAATTGTAGAAAAGACAGAAGGAAACCACGTCACGTCAGTGAGAAAGTGACTGGAAATGAAATGCCAAGTGAGAATTGATTGCATTGAAGATCTTTCTTTGCGTTTTGTCAAGAAGCTTCAGATAAATACCAGAAGCACCAGATCAGGTTAAGCAACAGTATTCAATGACGAATGGTAGATTTGTAAATGTGCAAGATGAACTCTGCCGAGAAAAAAACCTTCTGGCACGACACAGAATTAATAAAATACAATAAAGAATGTATTCCATATCATTAGAACAAAATGAAAGCAAAAAGCGAAAATGAAGAAACGCTATTTTAAAAATGCTACACTCATATAAAAAAAGAAAATAACTCACTCAAAAGGAAAATTTTGGAGAGTGCCGCCATAGAAAATTACCCAAATATTAATCTTCGCCCAGGTTTTTTCCCTATTTCACCTTTCTTAACAAAATTAATGCTCTTACAAACAAATATACACAACAGATTCATAAAATCAAAAGAAAATGGTTGAATATATCAACACAGATATAATGACAATATTCTCCACACGTGACAAATACCGACGTTATTTTTCATTTAAAAATATGAAAATAGCGTTTCTCTACATTCCAGTTGCTAGGTACATTCTGTTTTTGTTTTTATTAGTTACTTTATTCAATTAATTTCATTTTCGTATTTTGTTTTGATAAAGTCCACATTGGACGAAACCCGTCAGCAATTACCAGTTTTCCTATTGTCATTTTTATTCATAAATATTGTCTTCTCTACTGGTTAAATCAGAGAAATTTTCATATATACATATATATATATATATATATATATATATATATATATATATATATATATATAGAGAGAGAGAGAGAGAGAGAGAGAGATAAACTTAATAAGGAAGAAACTGTAAATGATAGATAGATAGATAGATAGATAGATAGATAGATAGATAGATAGATAGATAGAGTTTGCTGATGACACTAAGGAGTCTGATGGGACGATACCGCTATGGGATGAGCTCGCACCCGCATTATTCAAAACTTGGCATAAAACTGACGTATTCCATAGGATTGGGAATAATTTTGCCTTCAAGCAGGCAAGATTGGAGATAACATGGCGCTATGGTTCGTAAGAACAACCAGAGGGGCTTTATCTGGACCACTAACATTCGTTGAGTCAAGGCTTTTGAAAAATCTGAAAGTATTACAAGGTTTTTGCTTCGTGAGAATGAAAGTCATATAGAGGAAGGCTCTCTTCGTCTAAAGTAAACTGTGCGGCAAAGTTCAGTGCAAATGCACACACACACACACACACACACACACACACACACACACACACACACATATATATATATATATAGAAAAAGTTTCAAATTAAAATTATTTATAGTGTTTTATTTTATGAAAGTATTTATTTATTTATATATATATTTATTTATATATATATTTGTTTATATATATATAAATAAATAAATACTTTCATAAAATAAAACACTATAATTTTAATTTGAAACTTTTTCTATATAAACATATTAAGAAAGTATACGTGGCTTCTCATTATGCTATATATATATATATATATATATATATCTGTGTGTGGGTGTGTATTTACATATATGTGTGTGTGTTTGTTTGTGTGCGTGAATACCTCGAAAGAAAAGCGATACCTAAGGTTTAAAATGCATTTTTAAAAATCTTTCTTGAAGCTTTTATTTTAGTTTTAATTTCAAGATAATAGATAAAATCTAAATGGTTTCAATACGTAAAATACTTTGATGTATTTCAAACTGAATTTAAATTGACTGGAATGAGTATTTTTTATTATAAGTATAAAAAAGTAAAAATCGGCCATATGAACAAATCTGCCAACACAATGCAATTCTCTTTATTAAAAAAATATTTATAAAATAAAATATGCTTTTCAGAAAGATTATTTGAGGAAGATTAACTGATTTAAAGTTTAATTAATTTAATTTGAGACAATTATTAGTTCTAGATTAAAATATTGAAGAAAACCGTTTCTTTTTTAACAAGTAGGTGGGTGCTATTATGAGGTGTTGAGAACTCTCTCGATAGACTTATGTACATATATTTAAGAAATCTTATAAAAGAAAAACGAATAAAAATCGAGATAGATGTGTTTAAATGCAATATACAACCTAACTTAATCGACGGCGATCCACGCGGCTAAGTCGGTTAAAAGCACGACGGTTTCTCCTGCAAAAGGGGGCGTAGGATCGTATCCTGCCGGAGGTCGCATCTTTATTTAATAAGATAAAAAGATTTCTCGAATATTAAGGCCGGCAGACAAAAATAAAATACTGTTTAGCAGTTGAACGGACTTTCTACTCAAATATGGGTATCCCCAAAAAATAGTTCAAACTTTATATATATATTAGGTTGGTGCAAAAATAATGACTTAATAATGTCGTTTTTTGACCTTTAAAAATACGTCAAAAAACGACATTATTACGTCATTATTTTTGCACCAACCTATATATATATATATATATATATATATATATATATATATATATATATATATATATATATATATATAGAATGGCTCATGATCAAACATAATAGACATTAGTTGTTTGTTATATTCAACAATAAATGTTTGAATAATGATCTGCTGCATATATATATATATATATATATACACCAATCATATACTTGTATATATATATTAACCAAGTATATAATTGGTGTATACGGAATGAAATCCAATAACCAACAATTACTATTCTTAAAAGAGTGCTCAATACAAGGTAGAGCAGATATAATTATTTATTTAGAAAATTTATAACATAAACATGTTATAAAATCACTACAAAAATAGCCATTTTGTTTCAACACTCCTGGTGTCTTATCAAGTGATGGTGTTGAATGCAAAACAAATGGTTTTAAAAGTTTCTGGTGATATATATGTTAAATCCGACAAAACGGATAACTTTTATAAGTTATCTCCTTAGGATTATGATACATTAGTTAAGGATAGTCTAATCAGAAGCTACAAAAAATTGATGCAAATAACTTCAACCAAATAGATAAGATTAACAGTATCAGTAAATCAGTTACTGATAAACTACATTTTTTTTAGAAAACTTTTAAAACCATTTGTTTTGCATTCAACATCGTCACTTGATAAGACACCGAGAGTGTTGAAACAAAATGGCTATTTTTGTAGTGTTTTTATAACATATTTATGCTATAAATTTTCTAAATAAATAATTATATATATATTAATAAATATACATATCCAACTCCGATAGCACGGCTTAATATAAATTAATAGCTCTGTTGTATTGTGTCGAGCACTGTTTTATTAACACTAGCACAATATATGCGATATATTATAATTATATAATATATATATATATATATATGTGTGTGTGTGTGTGTGTGCGCGCGCGCGCGCGTATGTGTACGTGTTTGTGTCTTGCTCGTATAAATGCTTTTATTTGTAATGAATAATTTAAGATACTGGACAAGTACAGGATCAGCCCCATTAGATTAGAGGCATCAGCTTTATTTCTACTTGCAACAGACATATGCG